GACATAAGGAGGGTCACTTCATTGAATCAAAGGAACAATTGACCAAGAAGATATTACAATCATGAACATTTATTAATGAAATTCTGGAGCACCTAATATCATAAAATCAGTAGTCCAGGACTATAAAAGAGATTGGCACCAACTCAGTGATAGTGGGAGACTTTAATACCCCACTTTCTTCAACAGACAGGTCAACTGGACAAAGTATAAACAGAGAGATATCTGAATTAAATGACATACCATATGCAATGGACCTAACAGATATATACAGAATATTCCACCCAACCACCAAAGAATACACTTTCTACTCAGTAGCTCATTCAACTTATTCTAAAATTGATCACATCCTGGGGCACAAAACAAATCTCAACAAATACAAAAAAAACTGAAATAATTCCATGCCTTCTGTCAGACCACAGTACAATAGAGCTTATAATCAACAGAAAAAGAAGCTCTAATAAATAAACGAACTCATGGAGATTAAACAACACACTCCTGAATCATGAATGGGTCAAAGAAGAAAACAAGAAATAAAAGTATTCCTGGAACAAAATGAAAATGAGAACACAACAAAACCTCTGGGACACCTAAAACCAGTCCTAAGAGGCAAGTTTATAGCTCTTAGTGCCTACATTCAAAAATCAGAAAGAGCACATGTAAACAACTTGACAGTACAATTCAAGACTCTGGAAAGGCTAGAACAAACCAACCCCAAACCTAGTAGATGAGATGAAATAACAAAACTCAGAGCAGAAATTAATGAAATATAAACAAAGAAAGTAATACAAAAAAATAATGAATCTAAGACCTGGTTCTTTGAAAGGTTAAACAATATAGACCAACCCTTAGACCAGTTAACCAAAAGAAAGAGCAAATTCAAATTAACAAAATCAGAGATGAAAAGGGAAATATTACAATAGACACCAAAAAAACCCCAAACTATTGTAAGGGAATACTTTAAAAATCTATATGCTGTTAATTTGAAAACCTAGAATAAATATATGAATTCCTAAAATTATGGCCACCACCAAAGTTAAACTAAGAAGCTATCAAAAGCCTAAACAGACCTGTGACAAATAAGGAAATTGAAACAGTAATACAAAACCCCCCAACTAAAAAAAGCCCAGGCACAGATGGATTCACAGCAGAATTCTGCCAAACAGTCCAAGAAAATCTACAACCAATACTGCTTAAAATATTCAAGAAGATAGAAACAGAGGGAGAACTCCCAAATTCCTTCTATGAAGCCAGTATCACTCTAATACCAAAACCAGGTAAAGATATAACAAAAAAAGAAAACTATAGACCCGTATCTTTAATGAACATAGATGCAAAGATACTCAACAAAATACTTGCAAACTGCATACAGACATACATCAAAAAGATCATCCACCATGATCAAGTCAGCTGTATTCCAGAGATGCAGGCATGGTTCAACATTCATAAGCCAATAAACGTAATAAAACATACAAATGGACTTAAAGACAAAAAGCACATGGCCATCCAAATAGATGCAGAAAAGGCATTTGACAAAATCCAACATACATTCATATTAAAAGTCCTAAAAGGAATTGTTCTGGGGGGAACATACTTTAACATAATTAAAGCTGTACACAACAAACCCATAGCCAACATCATCCTAAATGGAGAAACCAGACAGGGCTGTCCACTATCTCCACTCCTCTTCGATATAGTGCTTGAAACCCTTGCTAGAGCAATAAGACAAGAAAGGGAAATTAAAGGAGTAATAATTGGAAAAGAAGAGGTCAAACTATCCCTATTTGCAGGTCATATGATATTGTGCTTACAAGATCCCAAAAATGCCACTAGAAAACTGTTAGAATTGATTAATGCTTTCAGTAAAGTGGCAGGATGCAAAAATCAACTTACAAAAATCAGTAGCTTTTCTATATACCAATAACAAACAATCAGAAAAAGCACTCGAGGAAACCCTCCCATTCTCAATAGCCTCAAAAACAATAAAATATTTAGGAATAAACCCAACCAAAAACATTAAAGAGTTCTACAATGAAAATTATGAAACTCTAAAGAAAGAGATAGAG